GTGTTAAACATTTATACATATTCTTTACAATTTGTACATACGTTAAATGGCTGTATCATAAACACTGTTCTATGGGATTTTATAAAATAAAAATCAAGTGGGGAAAATAACTTATAAAACATTAACAAAAACCCATGACATTGAAGAATAAGACGTTCCCATATTCATGTTCATTGAATTTCCTCATCTACTCATTTTTTGATTTCATTTTATTTATGCTGCCTGGACTTTCCATTTTCTGTAATATAATTATTAGGTCAGAAAGATGAAAGCAGTAGGCGGTAATGTGGTTAGGCAACTGTGGAAGACGGAAATCCTCGTCCACAGGAGTGAGACAGTGTGTCTGAGTGTTCAGATTTAGAGCTGACAGTGTGTCAAGACCCTGTTTTGCTTTAGGACATTAAGTGAAGTACTGTGCTGAGAAAAAGTGTGTGTGAAGTTTAGGACATAGGAAGACCCATCAGTCTGTACTTTCTCTTCAGCATAAGAGCCCAGGGATTCTGCACACTGTTCAGGCTGTCACCCTTCTCAGTACCCGAACTTTCCACTGGGGGATGGGAGCAGAGGTGCCAAACTGTGCTTTTTAATCTTCTCTGACAACACCATTGGCCCGCTAGCCCACAATCCCAGTCGAGCAGGTGCCATGCTAGGACCAGCACTTCTCCTTAAGTCTGATGAACAATTTAGGAATGCAGAGGGGAGGGGTCCTGGGCCGCAGAGGGTGCCGCCTTTGCACCTTCCCCTAGAGCAGCGATCCCCAACCTTTTTGGCACCAGGGACTGGTTTCATGAAAGACCATTTTTCCATGGGCAGGAGGGCAGAGCTCAGATGGTGATGGCAGCAACAGGGAGCCACTGTAAATACAGATGAAGCTTCCCTGGATCGCCCACTGCTCACTTTCCGCTGCGCGGCCCCCCAGTTCCTAAGTTTCATGGAAGACAATTTATCCACGGAAGTGGGGGAGGAAAGAGCTCTACCGCCCAGTCCCTAACAGGCCACATACCCAGGGGTTGGGGACCACAGCCCTAGAGTACTCCTGCACATAGGTATCAGCACAGCTACTCAACCCTGGGAGCAAGGCCATAGAATTTTTTTAAAAGCCCTCACATTTTTCTTACTTATTCTTTCTGGCATAAAACATGCCTTAACCACGATTAGGAAGGAAGGAAGTATGAGGAGAAAGCACTGGTCCTCATGTGAGAGCAACACATCGGAAACAATCCCAAGGGCAGTAGGTGGGCAGGTTGACCTGCACATCTGCCAAGCTACGTCCCCTGACAGGACAGGTGACAGCCCACCTGCCACACACCATGAGGGCACCAGCAGCCCCAAAAGCCCCCTGCTTCCTCCCTCATGAAATGTAAGCACTTGAGTCATAACTGTGTTAACGGAAGGTATGCAGATCTCCCTAAATGGACAGGAACCCCAGAGGACTGAAAAGAGGTATAAAAATATACAAACATATATATTTTTTTATTCTGGCATGTCTCATATTTTTGAGAAAGCAATTAATAATTAATTATCTGACATTGGGGAAGAACTTGAAGATTGTAGGTGACTTATAAATTACGGTTCTATGTATCAGTGGGAGGAAACCCCTAATTTTCATTCAGAATTCTGATAACTTTAAGTACTTACCAAAAATAGAGATAATTTCCATTTAAATCATGGAAATAATGGTTTAAATAATAGATATGGAAAAAAACAAAAGAAGACCATCCCTAATAACTGATGTCTTTAGGCTGGTTAATAAAATAAATGCAGTTTTTTGCAACTCTTTTTTGGTTTTCTTTCTTTCCTTTTTTTTTTTTTCCTTTGTGATAATAGAGAAAAAAATCCATTTTGAATTGCATTGCCCCAGGTCAGAAAGAAGCACTTCGGAATTTTCTTCATATTCTGTTTTGTTCTGTTCTGCACAACCAGAAATCGGCTGCGGGGCTGCGTCAACTTTTCTGCAGTTGTTTGGTAGAAGTGCACTTGCTGCTCCAGGCACAGGCGAACGATGCTGCTGCAATCGTAGATCCGATTGCTGTCAAAGTGATTCATCTCAGCTTGCAATGCATAAGACATGGTGCCGACTAGTTTCACCATGCTCTGTTTATCTTGTGGGGTGATTTTGCTAGTTGCAACTAGTTTATCACTTTCTATCACTTTTTCTATTGCTCCCTTGTGGGTGCCAGTGGTATCAGGCAAGCGGCCAAGAAAACCTTTATACTCATGATTACATTCCATCAGGAAATGGAGATCTTTCTTTGGCTATTCTGCCAAGAGACTGGCAATTTCTTCCTAAGTCTTTCCTGCTTCTGTTACAGCATCACTGAGATCGGTTTCGCCTTGATAGCCACTAGAACTAAAGACTTTTACTCTGTAAGGCCTTTCCTACCTTCTGATATTCCTTAGGAAATGGTCCTGCACACAACTTCCAACGCCCTTTCCCCGCAGTCAGCAGCACCTTCAGGCCACCATCCATGGCCTTGGCGAACTTCCCAACAGCATCGCACTTCCGCCCTGTTTCTATTAAGTCCAAGTCAGATGCCTCTGGTTCCATGGCGGAAAATATCAGAACTCCTGCCAGCTCATCTTTCTCGGCCTTTATCTTTCCAGTTTTCCATTCCTTCTCATCTCAGAAATTTAGGAATTGCTGGAAAACCTCCATTTCCGAAATGACGGGATGCTGACACGTTCTGGTCACCCAGGCCTGAAGTCTCTCCATGTGCATTTTGATAAATTCCTCTTCAAAGCAGCCTGTGACTTGTTTGTCTGGAAGAGAAGGGATTGGAATGGCTGACCTAGACTTAACCGGGAGATGTTCCTGTAACCAAAGTCCTTACCCGTGGTTTACAGATGGATTAGTATCAGCAGGTGTTAGCTGATACTCAGTGTAGCTCTTCAGACAGTACATTTTGGAGCCTTTCCTGGGATCTGCCACCACACAGTGAAACATAAAAGTAGGATAAACCCACATTAGGCCATAATCTCCAACAAAACTCAAAGAGGTTATTATTCTCTTTGGGTTTTGCTAGTTGTTTGGTCAACAAATACTGCTCTGTTCTAGGTTTTGCAAATCCAGAAAATTTGTTAAGTGGCAGCTACATGGAAGATGCACCAACACGACTGTTCCCTGCTGACCGTCTCCTGCTTCAGCTGATTCTGAATCCTTAAAGTAAGGTGAGGAGGACTTAGGGTCATCCCAGACTTGATCCCAGTCATCATCATCACCAGTTGCTGGACCTCGGTAGGTCTGTGGCTGGCCAAAGGCAGTGTCCCAGTTGTTGGGAGTGGTTTTTTGGGTGCCAGGCCCCTCTGGCGTGGCCCCCTAGCCATCTGAGCTCTCCCAGTTCCCAGATTTGGAGGCACTCCAGGCTGAGCAGGGGTCTTCGCCACTGCCAACCTGGTTATTGCTGTTGGCAGCTGACGAATTGGCTTGAGCTGTACTTAGTGACAGGAAATTAAGGAAGGCTTGATCAGCCATTGAGTTTCCTCAAGAAAACGGATCTTTTCCATCATTGGATAAATTTCCATATAGTGTGTGGGAACGAGCCCTCCTCCTCTGCTGTTCCTTCCTTCCAGGCACCCTCCACCAACATCCGTATTTGTAATTGTGATGACTTCTTCACTAAACCTCAATTCATTATTTCCAGGTTCGGCAGCAAAATCATACATAAACCGAGCCTTGGTGGCCATAGCGGGTGGGTCCGGGAGCCGGGAGGGCGAGGACAAGGGCGGCGGCTATAGTTGGGCCGGTCAGCCGCCGCCCTCTCCTGCAGTTCCTGAAGTCCGCGGCTGCGCGGCCCAGGCCCTGCCCGCCAAGTCTCCCATTTACCCCAACGTGGCGCCCTGGCCCTCCGCCACAGCCGGGCCTCTGCGCCCCCTGGCCGCCACCCCCGCCCCCGCGCCCAGACTCCGCCCCCGGCCGCCACCACCTCTCCCTCCCCCCCTCCAATCACTTGGATCTCCCCTGCTGGCCGCCGCCCTAGTGGGCTGGGGCTGGCGCTCGGGGGATAACGTTCAGTGGTGCAGAGAGCCACTCGGTTTTTAAACTATTTTTAATAACACATGCTTGCATGTTTTTGCTTTTACAGTCTTAATAGAACCCCAAATATAAATGACATGGATAAAGCTGGTGCTGCATTCATTGAAATGGGGGGAGGAGGGAGACCAGAAACGGGCTTGCTGTAGCTGCGGCCCAATGCCTGCCCTTACCCAGCTTCCTGGGCCTCTGAGGAACCCAGTTTGAAAACCAGTGAGCGCTCCAGCACTACAGAAATCTTGAAAAAATCTAGCAACCTCAGATATTCTTCGAGTTTCGACTTTTACAAACATAGCTATGAAAGTAGTTTACTAGGCTGGGTGCAGTGGCTCATGCTTGTAACCCCAGCACTTTGAGAGGCCGAGGTGGGAGGATTGCTTGAGGCCAGGAGTTTGAGACCAGCCTGGGCAACAGTAAAACCCCCTTCTCTACAGAAAGTAAAACAATTATCCAGGCGTGGTGGCGCGCCTACAATCCCAGCTACTCAGGGGCGGAGGCGGAAGATAGCTTGAGCCCCGTAGTGGGAGGCTGCAGTGAGCCATGATGATGCCCCTGCATTCCAGCCTGGGCGACAGAGCGAGACCCTGTTGCAAAACAACAACACAACAACAAAAGTAGCTTAGTAGGTATAATTGTTCTCAATATTCCAAGAACCAGAAGTTTCATCTCACCACATTTATATAAGCCCAGTATAGAAATTCCTCCAATTTTACCCATAGACACCTTCATCTCCTTACACACCAAACCCTAAAACCCCACGACACAACACATGGTTCTACAGCACAGCTTTCCCAAAGACCTCCAGATTCAAGTAAAGCGGCAAAAAATGTGTATTCTCAGTCTCTGTGGCACCATCCCCCTCCGGCTTGGGGGCTGAAGGGTGCTAGTCTACTCGTCCGGCCCCTCTTCAGCCACGCGGAGCTGGGGAAGAAGAACCACGCTGGATTCCACGGGTGGCCGACGACCGCGGCTACCTGGCCTTGGCGTTCCGCTTCAGGTAATCCGTGTAGCGCGTCAGGAGCAGCCTTTGGAAGGCGCTGCTGTAGAATACCCAGGCGGGGATCAGGCTCAGAAAGCCCGCCTTCAACAGACAAAAAATGAGAGTGTCTGGCAGGAAAGAAGAGCATGGAAGGTCTGCGACTCAAGCACCTCAGCTCATATTCATGGTCTTTGAAAATAGTTTTTTCTGACTACTGAAATGAAGTCCCAAAATCTTTTAAGTAGCTGCTGAAGTTTAAGGGTCTTACGACACTTTCTCAACACATGAGGTTTTCTCAGACACCACAGCAGTCCCTTTAAACTCCTTTGACACCTGCATAGCATCAGCCCTAAGGAAATTCTTTTTTTGAGACAGAGTCTTGCTCTGTTGCCCCAGGTAGAGTGCAGTGGTATCCTCATAGCTCACTGTAACCTCCAACTTCTGGGCTCAAGAGATCCTCCTACCTCAGCCTCCAGAGCAGCTTGGACTACAGGCAGGCTTCACCATGCCCAGCTAATTTTTTTCTATTTTTTTAGTAGAGACGGGGTCTCACTCTTGCCTAGGCTGGTCTCAAACTCAAGCTCAAGCGATCCTCCCACCTCAGCCTCCCAGAGTGCTAGGATTACAGGTGTGAGTCACCGTGCCTGGCCAAGAAAATAAAGATCTTATATTCTTTCTGCATGTCCGCTTTGTAGTGTGAGTTAAGTTGGTGATTCTGCACATTGTTAGGGCGATTCTGCATGTTGTTGAGGTTCTACAGTAAAAATAGCAAATAATAACGTGAGAAAGTTCAATATCTCTTGGTAGAGTCTTTGTGAGTCCCAGGAGCTAAAGGAATGCTTTGGGAGACTTTAGGGCATTGGTAGTGAATCCTTCTAGCATCCATGAAAAAGAGAGAGAAGGAAAGAGGAAGAGAGGGGGGGGAGAAAGAGAGAGAAAGAGGAGAGAGGAAGAGAGAAGAGAAACGAGAGAGGAAGGAGGGGAACAGGGGGAGAGATCTAATTCCCACTGTAGAAAAGCCTGTAAGGTAGAGGAGAAAGCTGACAGATGATGGGTAAGTAAGGAAAATCTATCTAAAATTTTTTTGTGGGGGCTGAAAACAGAACTACACTGACATTGTGTGTGTTTCAGTATGAGCATGGAAATCCTCAAGTCTACCTTTGTTTCATGTTGGTGTTTGTTTTAAAAGCAGCCCAGGAAAGGTGAGAACTTCGTGTGCCATATGCCACTGAACCTCATTTCCACGTTTGGTGGAGTCCATGGTAATGAAGCTGGCTGGGACTTTCTCACAGAGCCAGTCATGTGTACTCCTCTCTCCTCAATTCACGTGCACTGACATGTTGGTAGCTTAAAATCAGCCACGGTGGGAGGATTTACACCATGGAACTCAGGAAATGCTGGTTTGTAAATTAAAGAGGTTTGATTTGGTTTGCTTTTTTCCCCTGGAAGGCTGGTCATTAAACATTTACTAGAACAGAGGGCCAAGGAAGACAGCAGCCCCAACAAAGCTCCAGGTGTCTGTCTTCCCTGCCCAAGAGCTCCTGGGAGCCACCTTCCTTTCTGAGTGGAGGAGTGAGGCAGCCAAGGATGAGACTTGACGGCTTCGTATTACCCGTGGGCTGAGCACCCAAGTCTCCAGCTTCTCCCCCCTCGCCACATACTCCTTGCCAGTGCTATGTTACTGCTTGGTGTCAACCCATCGTGCCGTGAGAGAATCGCCGCACACCCCAACAGCAAGGAAGAACTAGCCAAGCCCTGCTAGGGCCGCCTGCACTCCCTCTCCCTTGCTTCAAGGACAGAAGTTGTTCTCAATTACCAAGATTTCATGGGCAAGGCAGCCACAGGTCTCATCTCCAATCGTGACATAGTTCAGTGATTCTTTAACAAACTCCTTGGCAGTCTTGGTTATCACGTTGGTGTTTAGATGCTTTGTCATTGCGGTCGAAATAGCATATGGAGTCAGCACCTACAATGGGAAATAAAGACCACAGCACAGGAAACAAACCTGAGAGATCAACACCCATTTTACCATCCCACCATTTCCCGACTCTTCCCTTCCCATAAAAAGTTTTGGGATCCTAAATGATAAAAGACACAGAACTGGTTCAGAGCTGGAAGTCGGAAGGTTTGGTTTTTCAAGATGAGACGTCAACCACCCAACACCAGATGGCCCAAATGCCCTCCCCAACCCACAGGGCAACTGAGAGGACATGAGCTGTCTCTCAGAACAGGGCTGCAAGACTTAGCAAATAAAAATGCAGGAAAAAGAACACTCAGATAAATTTGTAGTTTAAACAATGAAAAAAATTTCAGCGTCGTTGTGTCCTAAGTATTGCATGGGACGGACTCATACTAAAAACTATTCGTATGCTCTGGTTTCTCTTCAGAACAAACAAATCTTTCTACTTTTACTAAAAACTATTCATACTCATCTGAAATTCCAACTTAACTGATGTCCTGTATTTAATCTGGCAACTCTATCTCAGAAGTTTCTTTCTAATACATGTAACTAAAATTGGAGCAACTTAAAGTATGTTGGATTCTCACTTTCACACTTCAGTTAGGAACCAAGAGTGGTACATACCTCATAACCTTTTTCTGTGTGGTAAGAAAAATAAATAACCACACATTGTGCCCTAAAAATCCAACACCGTGTTTCCACCTGTGGTCTAACCACATTGTGGCCTGGCATGAGGATTCATAACAGGGTTTTATTACCTCATTCCCAGACACAAAGACCTGGGCATCTTTAGAAAGAAAAAATATTTATGCTATTAATAGTTTTCTTGGTTTTATTTTTCTTCACATCACATTTGAAATTACATTGTTTCCTAATTGAATTCAATTATGAGCCAATTAATCCAATTGAATTGATTGTTATGGAAAGTAATGCTATGGTCCATTTGCATAACACTTTTCTTTGAGGCTTTCCAAGAGTTACTCTTTGAGAAACATAAGGAGTATGCATTCTCAACTATGCTTTCCGGACAGGGAAATAATGATAAGTATTTTCATTCCTACGTAAGTCATGGTTGACAAAACACTTTTATGTGTAAAATAGGGGCTCAATAAATATTGTTTAAACTTGTATACTTATTTATTCATTAGATCTTCACTACAACCCAGAGAGGTATGCAAGTATTATAAACTTCTTTTATGGATGGGAAAACTGAGGCACACGGAGTTTAAGCAGGCTGTCTGGGACCACTCAGATGAAATTCAAACCCAAGTCTATAGTACATACTTCCTCATTCATTTAATAAATATTTATTGTGCACCAATTGTGTGTGCATTTGGAGAAGCCACTAGGTTTTTGAAAGGTCACAGTCTTTTTCACTTTCTCATACTTGCTGGGTGGCCCACGATGATCAAGAGCAAGATAATGCTAAGAGTGCCCCATGGCTAGGAAGCAGGTGGCTGTGGTAATCATTCATGTTTAGAAATCACCAAGGATTTCTGTTTTTCTTCTTCCATGCACATGATAGAATTGTACTTCCTGGACACCTATGGCTGGGTGGGACCATGTAACCACATCTGGCCAATGAGTTATGAGCAGAAGTGACATGTCATTTCAGAGCCAGAGTACTCAATGGTCAAAGCAAGATCCTCTAGAACTCCTCCTCCTTTTTGACGTCAACTGCCAGTAAGCAGGATGGCGGCTGCCCCATTAGCCCGGGTCCCTGCATCACTGCAACAAACTAATAATCTCCTGCCAGTTCACAGTGAACGTGTAGCATGAATGCAAAATAAGAGTTTGTTGTTTTAAGCTACTGACATTTTAGGGGTTACTTTTTACTGCAGCAAACTTAACCTGTGCACAGTGGCACTGTTGCAAAAGGGAATTTCCAACTTCAGCTGAAGTTGGAGAATGGAAAACACATCATGGAAGGGGGAAGAAATCTCTGATGGGTGAGACTGGTTCAGCAGGGCAGAGAAAGGGACTGTGGCACAATGACATGGCTGTTACAGTCACCCACTAGGCTGGGAAAATGATGTTATTGGCCAAATTCCTACCGTTAACTCATCTCTACCTATTTAATAAGCTTTATCCTGTAGCTGGTTAGTTTATAGTAATGGCCGCCTAAAATACTTTTCTGTCTGGGCATTTTAATCAAAAACCAATGTGTGCAGCAGTAATTTTAAAGATAAAACTTTGTGCCTTTTTCGTTTCTAATAGTATATCATAACACTTTTTCCCAAACAACAATAACAAAACCAAAAAAACCTCTGTTTATTCTAGGTTCCAGACTCCGCTTAACTCTAACTCTGTGGCTGAACCAAGCACAAGTAAATCACTGACACTTCAGAACATCACATCGCTCAGCCTATAGACAGGCCAGCTCTATTTAGGTGAGCACAGGTGGTCTCCATGGTGGCTCTGCCATTGTAGCTGGAAGGGGAAACAGAGCACCCCTTCCCCGACTGCCCAGGAACCAGGGTGCGGGGATCTCTGTGGCCCATCACAGTCCAACAGCCCCCAGGGGAAAACCCCCTCCCCAGCTACGAGCCCTTCCGCTCTTTCCAACATGGACCACATGCCCAGTTTTGTTTTGTTTTGTTTGTTTCTTCTCCACAATTCCTCCCACATAAGCCTATGTGCCATATCTAGGGCATAGAGGAAAAGGCAAGACCCCAATTTCTGTTTTGATGCAGCATCAGGGAGCAAGAGGGTCCATAGCATTTCTGAGCACTGGGCACAGGGGAGGGCAGCAGAAGCCACAGCAGCAGGCAGGACCAAGGTGGCTGCAGCTGCCCTGGCAACTGTCACAGGAACCCACATACCGTCACCCAGCCCATCTCCCTGCCGGCCACACATGCACAGCCAGTCCTGAGGGAGGCAGTGGCCCCAGGTCCAGGGGGTCCAGAGTGCCCATTCCAGAGGACACACAACTGTCCACCTCACCTGGATGATGATCCCTTTCGCTTTATATTCCACTTGCAGTGCCTTGGAAAACGTCCACACAAAAGCCTGGAGCAAGAAGAAGAAGAAACACCTAAGATCCCAGAGTTTGTTTTCTTGTCAGAACCAACTCTCAGATTTCAGGGGGCACCACAGAGGCACTACCTGCTTCCTGCTTTACCTTAAAATACAGCGGGGCGTTGTGAATCGAAGGGTACAAAGTTACCCCTTATAGGGTGAAGAAGATCTGAGCACTACTGCACAGCACGCGAAGACAGTTAACAATAATGTATCGTATACTTGAAAATGACTGAGAGAACGGATCTTAAATGTTCTCACAGCACACTAAAAAATAAGTATGTTAAGTCATGGGTATGTTAATTTGCTTGATTTAATCAATTCACAATGTACACATATATCAAAATATCACATTGTACACTGTCAATATATACGATTTTTATTTGTCAAAGATGCCCTAATAAAGCAGGGTCGGGGGAGGAAAGAAAGTAGGGGGCACAGCTTGTCTTGGTGGGAATCAGCGCTTCATTTCTCTATCTGGGATGAGCGCCTTCCCTCAATGGGAAGATACATTTTAGGATAAATATATCCCTAGGGCCACCGCATACAGAGTAGCCTACTGGGGAAGGGCTCCCTAGTAGAGCGCTCCCTCCTCCTAGGGTTGTTTTTATAACGAGGGCAAAGGACAGCCGGCAAGGCCTCCAGGTCAGGGAGGAAGCTTCAGTGTTATTTGTCAGCAGGAAGCGGGACAGGCCCCCGGCCCAGCAGGTGAGTGGGGACGGAATCCTGCCCTGCCAGGCTGTGCGGCTGCCGGGCTGCATGCGCCCAGACGGGGTGCCTTTCCCTAATCCACACCTGGACTCCCCGCACATAGAAGGGGGCCTGCAGACAAACCTCCCCATCAACTTGCCAGGTGAGCCAAAGAAAAATGCCAACTGGAAAAAATAAGAGGAAGAAGGAAGAGACTTGGGCCACATGATATCACTCACCTTGGAAGCCGAGTACATGGTGTACAGTGGCCACGGAAAGAGGGCTACCCCGGAAGAAATGTTCAGGATGAGACCTTTCCGCCTAAAAGGCAAAGACGCGAAGTTTCCATTGCTTTGCCGCAATCCCACTTTGAGCAGAAAGAAAACATGTAAATGCTGTCAAACTCCGCCCTCTAGGCTTCCATGCGCGCTAGTGCTCTGCTTCCAAGAACTGCGTGGAACTTCTGATGCGTTCTCCAGGAGGACACCACACAGTGATGTCTCTTGGCAGTCATGTGACATCAAGGGCATGTTCCTGGAAACAGAGGCTTTGCTACAACAAAGGTCTCCCAGCCAAAATACCGGATAACCAGCTCAGCTCAGACAGGAGTTAAGGGGGAAGAGATCCTCCTCCCTTAAATGTGACCACATGAGCTGCAGATCCCTTCAGACTCACAAAGATGACCCACAGCAGGACAGATGTCATATGGTGGAATCCTATCGTGGGTGGAATTTGACAGTCCAGCTTCTGCTCACGCAGACGCCCCCTACACAGGTCTCCAGGGGCCTTACTTTACCTTTTGAAATTCAATATCCTTAATCCTTCCCAATTCGATGGTTTCAACATGGGGGGAGGAGGTCTGCAAATTAGAATACAAGGCCAAGCCCCTCCTTCCTCTAGGGAAGATAAAACTATCAACCATTTGCTTTTAATGAATACCACCCGAGCTCCCAAATGGGCCTTGTAATAGGGTGATATAAACATGGAATAAATGGAGAAACTGATAGGGTGGTGATTTTTACCACTAAATTGGAATATTCATTCTGACAAAAGCTGAAATTCATAATAACAATGAGATGGTCTTGGTCTCAGGCCAGCTTCTAAAGTTTTCTTTTATGCTGAACATGAGTTAATTTTTTTTAATCCAGTGTGTGCTGAAACTGCTGTTCTCTTCCTCCCTCCAATATCTGTTACATTTGACCTTCGAATATGCTAGTCTGTTTGCTGAGCTGGCGTGGCCCAGAATGTTACTTTTTTCCCCATAATCTCCATGTCCTTTCATCATAGTTTGTATCCTTTGTCAAAGCAGCAGCCAAAAGAACCCCGTCTCCCCAGTCCCCGCGTTAGCTGACTGCCAGACAGGGAGGCCATACTGCTCCATGCTTTTTCAAAGAAAGACCTTACCTTGATTCCATGTGTTTCAGAATTAGCTGTGTCATCTATAAGAGAAGGCCAAAGTTAAGCCCCGATAAAGGAACTAAGTGGCGATGGGCAGGGACTCAGAGAAGTAAGTGCTGGAGGGAGCTGGGGGGAGAGAGCTTAATCTTCTCAGATGGCCTCAAAAATTGCCAATACTCATTGGAGGTCGTTCTGGCAACCCCAGAGTCTGGCTGGACCCCATAGGATGCAGCCTAGACAGATGGCAACTGTTCAGAGGCCTCTGGATTCTTCCCTTTGAAGCTAAAGTCTTCCTGGAAAACGGGGGCAGTGAAAATTTGTGGGAATTGGCTTTTGGCCACGGGATCCACACTGAGGTTCCCAAGATAGTCTTTATTCTGTGTGACAGGCAAAAGGAGTCTGGCCATAAGTCATAACTGGGGGACTATCCGGAAGCCTAAGAAGAATCTACAAGCATCTTGCGTACAAGGTATGAGGCGGAGAAGGACATCTCTCCAGTTCAACTGCAGCAGCACACGCAGCCGGCAGGTGGGCTTTGAAACAGTTCACGGACAGAGCATGTGGCCAAGCCTGTCTGTCGGAATTACAACAGGGTTGAGAAGCCCTTCCCCTCCCAGCCTACCACACCTTGAAAAGGTCTTCCCTAACACTTCTGGGCCTAAATAACCCTCTAAAAGGGCTTTTCATTCCGTAATTACAAGGCACACATTTTATGAATGAAGAAGAGGCAACCCCATGGACCGAACTGTACTCTGAAGCATGACTGACTGGGACCAGGCCCTGTCCCGGGAGCAGGTTTGAGATGGGGGATCCAAATGGAAGGAGAGGGGCAGAGGGATAGAGGAGACTCGGGACCGGAAGACAAATGTTGCCCATTTCTCCATGTCGTCTAGGGGCTCTCCAGTGGCTTCGCAGCACGCTGTGTCCCTGTCCCTGCTCCATCTCACAGGCTGGGCCCGGGCCCGTCTCAGAGAGCCTCCAGGTAATGTTTTCACTGCTGAGGGGCTCCGAGGGCCTGGGGGCGTGGAATTCTCTAGAACCCCCTGGACTGCCTCTGAAACACTGGATTTTGAGGGAGGTGAGGGAAGCATGAGGGACTAGATTGTGTCAGTGCCCTTTCCTGACTGACTTCATTTGGGGTATTATTTGAGCCCTGTCACACAGCATTTCCTCGAAGTCTCCCGAGTGAATTCACTTGCCTTGTTGAGTGAATGATCCCAATTAGAGAGACAACACTGAATTTTGTGGGTCCCTGTCTCAAAGTTCCCAATATTTAGTTTCTTATCCCACCTTCTCTTTGCCCTCAAACTCATATTCTCCCATCTCTGCCCTTGATAGAGGACTCTACTGCTTCCAGATGGCTCCTTTGAAATAATTAAGTGATGTTAATCATGCTTCCAACCAGCGTGGCTAATTGGGGCATGGCATACTTAGAAGCTAACCTTCAGTTTATTTTCTTTGTTACTTAGGGAACTTAGTGTCTACCGATATATAATTTTTTTTTTTTAACAAATCAAAGCATTTCTCCGCTAAAGGAGTCAGAGGGCTGTCAAATACATTTGGGAAACTCCCATGATCAAACAGCCCAAGACTGAAAGATCAACATGTAAAATAATGTGAAAGATTTTAGTGGTAAGGCTGCAGACAACAGTTGGACATATAAAACTTAAAATTACATCAGCTGGGGCCTTTAAAAAGCCATGGATTGCTTAGCATAAAAAGAATGTGTGTTTGTGTACCCAATAATAACTGAGCAGGAAACTATAAAATACCAGCATGCTTACAGAAAAACAACCAATGATGAAAATAATTGTTGTCAGCCCAACTTATACACTTGAAAAAAAATCGGGTTTTTTGGGGTCTATGCAGCATCCATTTCCCTGCCTTATGTTGGTAGTAACCTGATTTCCTTTGGGGAATCAGTCCTCCTCCACTGCCAGTCCATGTTGTTCGGATGAGTGAGACTGAGCCTCCCCTTACTCTCCAACCAGCATCCCAGCTCCTTGAAATCAGGATCAGGCCTTACTCATGGCTGCAGTTCCCCTGACCTTCCAGAATGGTCACTGGGGCTGCCATGTACAATTGTAAATTTTGTGTACTGCACAAGGTGCCCGGGTCTGGGGTGAGTACAGGCTGAAAGCTAGGGGCTCACTCACAAGCCACTGCAGAGGTAGGGGGCTCTATCCCCTCCGAGGAAGGGAAAACATTTTATTCCCATAAAAGTATCATCTACTCACCAAATCATGCAGCCTCAGGCTGTGTTCATTCTTTTTTTTTTTTTTTTTTTTTATTTGAGACAGAGTCTCACTCTGTTGCCCGGGCTAAAGTGCCGTGGCTTCAGCCTAGCTCACAGCAACCTCAAACTCCTGGGCTCAAGCGATCCTACTGCCTCAGCCTCCCGAGTAGCTGGGACTACAGGCATGCACCACCATGCCCGGCTAATTTTTTCTATATATATATTTTTTTAGTTGTCCAGATAATTTCTTTCTATTTTTAGTAGAGACGGGGTCTCACTCTTCCTCAGGCTGGTCTCGAACTCCTGACCTTGAGCGAACCACCCGCCTCGGCCTCCCAGAGTGCTAGGATTACAGGCATGAGCCACTGCGCCCGGCCTGTGTTCATTCTTAAACGACACCTTTTTCTAAACTGTCTGCCAGAGCAGGTGGCCTTTTTATTATTCACACAAAGGCACAGTATAGGATAGCTTTGAGGGAGTCATGATACAAATGCTTGTACAGCTGATCCTGAATTCTGAATGGCACTTAAGACATCATGGTCCAAAACTCTTTTGATAACAGACACAGAATCTGAAGCTCGAGGAAGTTAGATAACTTTCCCAGTGCTAACCATTAGTAGCTGAGCTGGGATCAGAATACAGATGAACCTGACCTTCAATTCAACAAATATTTACTGAACAGCAAAAGTCCAGAAAATCCAAGCCATGCTCTCTGTCATTTTTCCAGAGTGAGCTTTCTTTTATTTACAAAAACTAAAACTAGAGGAAGATATTAATTTTTTTTAAAAAGTTGCCTTGGAATCCTGAATAAGTTTCAGCATCATCAAGCCTAATATGTCCTGACGTGGGACAAAACTGAATGCAGAAATCAGATTCAGATATGAGGGAGAGTGAATCCATCACTGTATTTTCTTGATGAAAACAGAATAAGACAACTAAAAGACCACTACATGGCCTCTCAAGTGAGGTTCAATTTCAAAGAGTCCTGCTTCTATAGTGGGAGGGGGCAATTCTCCTGAGTTCCCAAATTCCAACAACTACTACATCTTAATGCTTTCAGCACATATATGGATCACATACCTTGACTACTGAGGTGATGTTACAGTGGATGAGGCTCTGTAATAAGTAATCACAACCACAAGTCAGCCCGATCACTGGAGAAATTATCCTGAGAATTAATCAGTGCTAAATAACCATGAAGTGGCCAAAAGTACACGTCTAAGCGGTTCCATCACTCACTCAGCCTGCAAATTCAGCTCCTAATTGATGTTCAGCAAGAACGCACTAGAATTGGGAAACATCTGACATCCATTTTATGATTCTATGTGTATGTGATCTTGAATATAAGTCAGTTAAGAGTTTCCTTGACAATTAAGGGAGGAATATAGATACAATATTTCAAAGGAAGAGATTCAGTTTCTAGCTGGAGAAAGAGAGGTTAGCCTATGTGGGTCTAGGACAAAGTAGCGTAGAGAATAGAAAGATGAATGGTTGCATAACACAAGGTAGAGGCTCTGGGCTATGGAGGCCAGGTAAAGAAACTACTAGAATCACCCAACACGCGAGGAAAGAGGGACAGACACACACACAAGCACAAATGCAAACATAAACAGAGAAGGAGGAACAATTGTGGAACTTGCTTAATGGAGAGATACGGACTTGTGCCAGAAACAGGGAGTGTGGAAAACAGAGACTGCAGGGTTAGATATGTTGTCCCAGAGAGGAGTTTGGAGAGGATGTGCAGCAGCCTCCCAGCAATCTGCATTAATGCCAATGCAGTAGACTCAGGGCTTGAACAGGCCCACAGGAACACCTGCAGAGCTGGGGAATGGAAGCACGATGGCCTGCTCAGATTGGTATAACCCCGGACTTCATGGGTCGGGGTCTTGGGGAAGGATCAACCAATAATGCCTGCAAGGACTGTAAAACGCATAAAAAATTTACTCACTACCAACAATGGCAGCCATGGGTCTGTGCCCAACTCAGTGAACTTACAACACCCCCAACCACAGAGATTGTGTCATGTACTGCCCTCTCATTGAAAGTTGGACAGATCTGATTACCTGGGACGACAGAGATAGCCAAAGAACTGGCCTTCTCCCAAGTGCAACCACAGCTATCAATCAGTTATGCAAATTACCCCTTTGTAAAGCAAAGCATAGAACCCCAAAAGGATAGGGCAGTGGGCAGGTAAGTTCTGATGTGCAGAGAAGGGGGAAGATGTCTGTATCTTGGAGATGGTCATGAAAAGTGGTGGTACACTTGACTATGTACTAAGGTGAAAAGACAGAGGGAGCTTAAGACACCCTGTGCAATACAGAGTTTTGGCCAGACAGGCTTCCCACCACTCCTTCCCACCCCCTGGTGATCACGCAGCCAGAGGGCCCAGTACCCAGTGAGAGGAATCCGCACACAGAAGGGCACAGGTTTACCTGGATTTCATCCGGCGCATTAAGGAAATAGCTTGGGAAAAGGTTTGGAAGCATTCCGACATTGTTGACTGGCGGAAAGAGGCAAAACAAAAATGTGTCAGAGGAACAGGTGGGAAATTTTTCCAAAAAGGGGTACAAAAAGATTTATATATAAGGTTGTTCATTGCAGCATGATTTGATAATAGTAAGGAAATTGGAGGGAAAAAATGTTGTCCGCTAATAGGAGACACCTTAAAAGAATCATAGTGTAGTCACATATGTTGGAATGGAATGCAATCATTAAAAACCATGGCTGCTTAGAATTTCAAAGACATGGGAAAACATTTGTGACATAAGTTTTTTAAAAGTATATATTACAAAACAGCACATACATATAATCCCAGTTTTAAAATTATGTGTGTATGTGCCTGGAAGGATGTGCACCAAAATACTATCTCAGACTATTGGGATTTTAAGAAATTCATTTTTCTTTTGTAAGCCTCTCTATTCTTTCCAATTTTTCTGCAATGATATGCTTTACATTTTTATTTGTAAAAATGTAATTATTTTTAAAATTCAGCAGCAAGTTTAGAAATCAAATCTTACTTTCTTCTATATACAATACAAACACTGCACTGTGTTTGTGGCTATAAAATGCCTTGACTATAAATCATTACAGGAGAAATATTATTTTAGGCCAGGCACTATGGTGCAGCTGTAGGCCCAGCTCTAAGGAGGCTGAAGTGGTAGGATCACTTGAGCCCAGGGGTTCGAGTCCAGCTTGGGCAACATATTGAGACCCCATCTCTATAAAAAAAATAATAATAAATATTATCATGTTTTATGAAAAAGAAAGAAAGTCAATTCTCAAATAACTACACTGATTCACTATGTCATGGATCAATCACAGCAATGTTTGTTTGCTAAACTAATTCCTTTAGGCCAATGTTTTTGGGATTCCTCTTCTGCCAAATGTCAACATCAGTTCCATGAAAGAAAATTCATTTTAATATCAGAAAATATAGTTGGGAAGGTTGGAATATGTAAGTTTGATACATTTCAAAACCATATATAAACTTTCTAATCTAGTAATAACTCTTGAAGAACTGAACTTTAATACTCAGTTTAATGCTACAGCTTAAAATACAGTCATGGGTTAAGTTTAAGCTACGATGAAATTACCAAGTGTCACTAAGATAATTATTTCAATAAGCTTTGTATTTTGCAATTTACTTACCTAAAATTCCAATTTCTAAGCCTTTAAGTTTTTCTTTAATATATTCATAGATGTCATCTTTGGTAAAATCTGCTTGTATGATCTTCACGCTATTCCCTGTAGTCCACTCTGCAGTGGAAACAACAGGTTTTTTTTAACGAACAGGGGTCCAAATCCCACCCTATTCCATGAAGTTCCCCCAGTGCTCTTGTACTACCTGAACAGACATTTAAGAGGACAGCCCACTACCTCAATTAGAAATATTAATAGGAAACAACCATGAGCAAATGCTGGGAGGCGCTAAGAGATTTGTGAACGATGGTTTCTATGTGTTTCTAAGAGTTACTGCGGTGACAAGTATATGCATTAAAATAGATTCGGTGCAGTGGTTCTCAAAGTGGGCTCCGGAGGCACAGCATCAGCGTCTCTGGGAAACTTGTTAGAAATACACATTCTCAGCCTCCCCCCGCAGACCTACTGAATTATTAATAGAAATGTTGGAGGCAGGGCCCGGCTAGTGATCTGTTTTAACATGCTTCCTGGTGACTCTGTGGTGTATGCTCCAGCTTAAGACCCCTGGACTAATGGCTGTAAAAGCAAGGTCTGATGCTGCCTCTGCTCAGTGTCGGGTCCTCTCCACAAAGACACAGCAACCCTTTGTGTTTGTCCAACATTGTAGCATTCATAAAGCATTTACATACACAATACCTTGTGTTAATCCTCCCTGCAATCTTGTGAAGTAGATATTATTATTCCCATATTCCAGACAAGAAAACTAAGGTTCAGAGAAGCTAAGTAACTTGCTCAAGGGCATCCACACTCTGTTCACTCCAAGTTCAACGTTCTTTCCACTATTCGGTGTTAACTTGCCTTGTGCAGGAGTTTTCAGGCAGATATGAAAGCCGCAAGCAGTTTACAAACTGCTCAGTGAACTGCTTTAGCTTTGGAGTTAGACCCAACATTCTGGGTCAAGCAATCTTGAAGCATAGTTTGAAGCTGGGGGATGCTTTCAGTCCAAAGACACTACTTGCTTTTCAGAAAGATGACAAGCACATTTTAGCATTGTAAGGAAAACGCTGAAGAATGGGGGGGCCTACTCAAAGTTGCTTCTAATATCCAGACAGAACAAAAGCAGAATTCACTGGTGCAAGGGCATGGACCTCCCTGCTGTGTCTGCACCGCCTCACGCCTCCCACATCTGCCTCCTGTCCCAAATCTCTCCCAGGGAAACAAGGCTGACCCCAGACAGCCCACCATGGTCTTCACGAGTGTTCATAATTGGAGACTCATCCCTTTGAGTTAAGGAGTTTACTAATTATTAAATTAA